TTTGCACATTTCACTGTTAATCACAGTGAAGGGTTCGTAAATCACAACAACGGTGTTCATACTAAAAACATCGAAAGTGTGTGGAACAATTGTAAATATGTTATTAAAACGCATAAAGGAATTGTAGAATGTGAAATTAGACTTGTTTTATCTGAATTAACTTGGAAAAATAATTTAGGCTTAAATAAAACTTTGGATGATTTATTGAGATTATTAAGATTTAATTAAATTTAGTTTTTTTAATTTATTTTTTATTTATAAATTATTTTTTGCACTTGTTATTCTTGTAAGGAAATTTTTGCACTTGATCCGATAATTAATAAATATTTTTAATATTTTAAATTTTTTTGAAAAAAATTATATATAAAATTTGAAGCATTAATCAAAACAGTACAAATAAATATTTTAACTTTAACTTCCAGGTTAGTATAAATTTTTTTATATCATTTATTGCTCCATGTTTAAGTAGTTTTTTAAAGTATTACATCTTAATATTAATATTGTAATTGTTTAGAAAAGGATTTAAATTTAAAGATAGTCAGTGTTGTGAGAAATAGGCATATTAATATTTTAATGTTAACACAAATTACTTAATTTAAGAATTCAAATATTTTTAAGCTTTATAATAATGTGACATGACAAATAATTACTCTTTATATTTAGTGATTTTGAACAAATATATATCAATAAATAATTTATTCTTATTATTTCTAAATATTTTAAATACACTTTCTTCATTATAATAACAAAAACAGAAAATGTTTTTATGATTTTCAACATTATAATTGTTGTTACCCTTTCATTTAAAATTATTTTTAACTTTGCATAAGTCCAAATATACTTAATGAATTGAATATAATTAAAAAATTTAGAATCAATAAAGTTTTTAGAATTATTTACAATCCTACGATTTTTAAAATATTCTTCAAAGTTAAAATAAATCTTTTAACCACCAGTTTAGAAAATACTATAATTATATGTGTTTAATTGACTAAAAGCGATGTTTCTTTACCTCTTCTTTCAACTACAAACACCTTGTTATTTTCTGAATTCTGCTTTACTATATCAAAACCATATAGTTCATTAATTTACTACCAGAAATTATTCTTAAAGCTAGTGTTTCAATTATTCTCAATAATATTAACAAAGAGAAACCTTCATTGAAAGTAGTACTTTTGACGATTTTTAAACAAAGATTTGTTGATTTATATAATTTTATATTTCCATTCATGTTTTCACATATAATATAATTATAAACTTCTAACCTACTGTTACAATCCGAAACAAACGATGTCATTATTTCAGAAAATACTATAAAAAATTGAAGTAAATAAAAGACATTTTTATAAAAGATTTTAATTATGAAAACAATAAAGATTATAAGAGTGATAAGAGTGATAAGAGTAGCACTTACTAAACTCTCTCATAGTTTTATTTCTTTTTATTTGTGCTACAGGTATAATATATTTGATTGTTTTTATTCAAAATATAAGTAAATTCACCTTATCAAATTTTAAATAACATTGTATATCTGTTCTCTCTTTCATAACAAAAAGAAAGGTATTTTTGAGTAATATGTATTTTTTACAATAAGACATAAACTAATGGAAAAAGTAATTAACCTCTTTCTTTTTGACTTAAAAAATCTATTGTTATTACATCATATACATACTCTTTGAAGAAAATTTTTATCATATATTTTTTAAGAATAGCTATGTAGAGATCTTTTTACTTGGTATATTAAACTACTTTTCTTAAATCATAAAGATTATACAGTGGCTGTCAAAAAAACGCAACTGATAAAAAGTGACATAAAAAATGTTACTTAAAAACAATTTTTATATATATATCAGTAATACGAGTGTATAAATAAATGTTCTTATTTTAAAGAAAACTGTTTATTTATGGCTAGTAAACTAATAAAAATTTTAAACAGCTGGTCAAAAAATTTGCAACTAAAAATTTAATATTTACAATGACCACCTTTAGATCTAAAAACTGCTTCGATTTTTCTTTCCATAGAGTTAATATAAGTTTGGAAAACCTGTACTGGTATTTTGTACCATTCCTCTATTACTATTTCTTCCAAATCTTTAACTGGTTTTGGTAATCTTTCATGCACACGTAATTTTAAATATTGTCAGAGTTTTTCAATCGAATTAAGATCTGGACTCTGAGAAGGCCAATCTAAAACATTAATATCATTTTTCAAACCAATCATCTGTGATCTTAGCAGTGTGCTTAGGATCATTATCTTGCTGAAAGACAAAATTTCTATCTAAGCCTAAATCCTTAGCTAATTTTTTCAGATTCTTGTTTAAAATCTTGGTATACATTATTGTATTCACATTTCCTTTAATTATTTCCAATCTACCTACACCATTGTATGAGAAACAACCCCAAAGTTTAATGTTTTCTTTACCATGTTTTACAGTGGGTATTAAGTATTTCTTTAAATATCTATGTCATACCCTGTGGAGTAGGAGGTATGCGTTGTAGTATTCCTTGCACGGTTCAAGGACTGTTCACGTGTTAAATGTTTAAAAGATTTGTTTG